GTTACCGTTTCGTGCCCTAACAAAAGGGAACATGACATGCTCAACTGCATGGCAATGTGCATCCTCTGCTGGTGTTCTTGCTCTCCCCGTTGCACTGTGCTTCTTTTCTCCCGCACACTATGCAATGTCTGCAACGTGCTACATGGCGTGTCACAACTGCATTGTTGGCAATGCTCAGCAAGAGTGTCAACATGATGCTACCATTGTGACAAACACAACTACCAGGATAGCCACTTCACATGTGCTCCGCGAGGTCCTCCAGCTCCGCGAAATATGCGCGGCGACACGCCCTTTCAGAGGCTCCCAGGCTCACGATAGCCACCCTGGCATGTTATCCCAGCGGGGACGGGATTCTACCACAAGTGGGCCCCCGTCCTCCATGCACCCGGACAGGCAGCGGCTGTGTTTGGCAACGTGCCAGAATTCACCTGAATGCAACTCGATCGTGGCCGTTGCAATCACGACGCACCGGGTGCCCGGCGACCGGAGGAGGAGGCAGAGGAGGAGGCGGAGGCGGAGGGGAAGGTGGAGAAGGAGGAGGAGGAGGAAGGGGAGGAGGAGGTTTAAGAGGAGGAGGAGGAGGAGGAGGAGGAGGAGGAGGAGGAGGAGGAGGAGCAAGAGGAGGAGCAAGAGGAGGAGGGGGAGGACGAGGATGAGAAGGAGGATGGGGGGGGGAGGGGAGGAGGAGGAGGAGGAGGAGGAGAAGGAGGAGGTGGAGGAAGAGGAGGAGGAGTAGGAGGAGGAAGGGAGGAGGAGGAGAGAGGAGGGAGGAGGAGGAGGAGGAGGAGGAGGAGGAGGAGGGCAGAGGAGGAGGAGGATGAGGTGGAGGAGGAGGAGGAGGAGGAGGAGGAGGGGGAGGAGGAGGAGAGGGAGGAAGAGGAGGAGGAGCAGGAGGAGGAGGAGGAATAATAGTACGAGCAATAATAACAACTAGAGTAATACTCATACTGGGACTATGACAAATGATCCTACTATCAAGAAAACGAATGTTAATACTACGAAGAAGCAGGCAAGTCAACAACATAATAACTACAAGAGGAATCGTACTACTACGACTAAGAATAATAAGTTTAATCTACATCCTACAACGAGCTGGATTAAAAAGTGGAAACCGTGGGGATCGAGGAAGACACGGTTGGCCTCCCGTTAGGCCACGGGGCCCCGGGACAATGTTGGACCAGGGGCCCGGTCGGGAACTTCAGATGCATCTTTCACCCCTTTTAATATTATAACGGCCAAATGGGGTCAGCGTCTGAAAATGTGATTCCGCCTGAGACTTCCGCCCCCCAAAAATCAGATCGCTTTTAAGGGCGATCTGAAAAATTGCTGCGACATCTGAAAGTGGCGATTTTGCGTGGGACTTCCGCAGCAAAAAAAAGATCCATCTTCATAACGCTTGAGAGCGGCGATATCGCTTGAGAATTTTTCGCCGGGTATTTTCCGACCGGTTTTCACACCGCCAAAGAGTGGCGATTTCGTTTGGGCTGTCCTAACAACCGCGCGTCTCGTCCACCCCTGCGTCGCCGTTCCTCCGTTCGGGTCACGGCTCTGTCTGGGAGTTAATTGGGATCGATCGCAGGTCGAAGCTTGAGTTTTTTTCGATTGGCGATAACCCAGGGGTTGTTCCCTGCCATCGTGCAGATCACCATTTTTTTAATCCAGGGGGGTATTAATAATACTGAACTTGATAATGATACTAATTTGGGAGATACCAGTACTTATACGTGTGATATTAATAAAGCTAAGAATAATAATAAGTCGAATGCTAAGAAGACACATGCGAACCGAAAGGCTGACACGATTACGATTATTGTTCGTAATACTAAGAGGAATCATAATAATACGAACAAATATGTTAATAATCTTATATGTTAGTAGGAACAATATGGACAATGCGGACATTCTTACTGATAATGGTAATGATCAGAAGAAGGGGAGGAGGAGGCAGAGGAGAGGGAGGAGGAGGAGGAGGAGTAGAAGGGAGGAGGGATCATTTTACTACTGTCAACACCCGCCTTGCGTGGTGTTTGGCTGTCCACAACAGATTCTGACCTACATGCTCCTTCACCTGTCCTGTGCACGCAGGCGCTGATGTCCACCAGCAGCGCTGTGTTTCACGCGGATGCTGTGGTGTACACACGCGCTGTGGTGTGCAAAGGCGCTGCGGTGCACGCAAACATTGTAGTGTATTCAACCGCTGTGTTGCAGTCGGCTGCTGCGGTGTACACAGGCGCTGTGATTCACGCAAGTACTGTGGCGTCGTACACAGGCGCTGCGTTGCACACGGCTCTTGCGGTGTACAAAGGCGCTGTGGTGTACACGCGCGTTGTGGTGCACGCGAGCACTGTGGTGCACACAGGCGCTGTGGTGTAGGTCGCCACCTACATCCTCTTCCTGCTTGGCCTCGGTCATCCCTAGACATTCCCGGATGCCGCCGGCGCGGAACGTGACGTCAATTTGGGGAGGGGCGCGGGGGGGGGGGACGGCCATTTGTTGCCGAAACATACAAAACAGGCTCGGGGAGGAGGAAGTGGGGAGCTGGAGGAGGAGAGGGGATGGTGACGGGGGAGGGCGAGGAGAGGAGTCCGCGGGTCGAGGGGCTCTGGGGCGTCTCAGGGTGTGCCTGGGGTCCGATAGGGGCACCGAGGACGGGGGGAGGGCGATGGGGACGAGGGGAGGAGGCCGAGAGCAGCAGGGCGGGCGACTACGACGGCGTCGTCCCTCTTTTGCCTACGCCAGATGTCTTCGCCAGATCTCCACCGGGCCGGCGAATGAGTCTGCATCGCCGCCGGCAGGCTCCGCGCGGGCGCCCTCGGAGGGGTGCCGGCCGTCGAGCCGATGCGGCGTGGCGCTCTCGCCCGCGGAGGTGGCCTCCGTCTTGCGCAAGTTCTTGGGGGCCCCACTGGCCCGCAGCGTCAGTCGGGGCAGCGCGCGGCGGCCGAAGCAGGCGGGAGCACAGGAGCGAGCAGCCACGAGCCAGTGCAAGGCAACACCACCACCTGTCTCCTCCACCAGTTTCATCCATAGGCACCGCGGCAGCGCCAGAGCGTGATGACAAGTATGGGTCCAGGAGGGGCCAGGAGCGGACAATGGCCGAGAGAGCGTTCAAGAGGACGTACCAGGAATTTGGAAAAACATGTCGGCGGCCAGCCCGGAGGGAAAGTGAGAAGGAGCGGGCCTTTCAGAAGGCTCGGAAGTCCCTGGCCTTCTGAGGAGTGTTCTCTAAGCCTTCCCCGAAGACGCCGAAGACTTCTGAGAAGGTGCGAGGGCTTCTGAGAAGTCCCGCCGCCTTCTGATATGGCCGTCTCCTTCTCATTTCCCCCCCCCCCCTCGCTCGCCGCCGAATACGACGCGCCCAGCCTGGGCGAGGGCTGGATGCACATGCGGCCACGTGCCTCTCCAGCGCTCAGCCCCTTGTGTGTCCTGGCACGCAGGGCTTCCGTGTATGTGTGTGTGTGTGTGTGTGTGCATCCAGCGCGTGGCTTCCCAGATGTTCCGCATGTGAATCCAGGAGGAGGAGGAGGAGGAGGAGGAGGAGGAGGAGGAGGACCAGTGTAAACCCACGACTCATCAACGATGTTGGAAAAGGCCTCCAGGCCCCTACAAGTATTCGTTTCCACTGGAGGAGCTGCCTCGTTGGGAGACAACCGTTTGAAGACACTGAAGCGTGCCCAAAAAACATGTCTCGGGACTCCAACGCCAAGAATCAGCGTGACTGTTGTGTCTTGATGATCCTGAATCGTGCCAGAACGCCCTTCCTGATATTTTAACAATGGGAACCAACGTAAGTGTAGCACCCTCGCAATCCTGAATCTTTTCAAAACAAATTAACTGGTACGTTGACCACAGGAATCGGTGGGAGTCTTGCAAATGTTTGAGAATAATGTGCGCGTCGCTGAGGCGAGAGCCATATTTTTGAAAGCCAACCGCCCTCAATCGGTGAAGCTCTTGCACAGTTTAACGATGAGTGTGCGCGGTGCTAGGGAGAGGGCCACATTTAGATAAAACGGCCCGCCTTCAATCCGTGAAGCTCTTCGCAGATGTTTGAAACGAATGTGCGTGGTGCAAAGGCGAGAGCCGCATTTTGAAAACGGCCCGCCCTCAATCCTTGAAGCTCCTGCAATTGTTTAGACGAGTGCGCGCGGCGCTGAGGCGAGAGCCACATTTGGGAAGCGGCCTTCCCTCTATCTGTGAAGCGGTTGCCAATTTTCAAGCTTCAGAGTCATTCGTGATGAGGAAATCTCAGGCGAAACGCCCTGCCCGCTTTTTCGACTGGCTTCGGGGTGCGACGGGGAGGCGTTATTTACAAGGAAGGATCATGGGAAGAGGAGGATGAGGAGGAGAAGGAGTGGGAGTAGGAGGGGGAGGAGGAGGAGGAGGAGGAGGAGGAAGAGGAGGAGGGGGAGGAGGAGGAGGAGGATGTGGAGGAGGAGGAGCAGGAGGAGATGGATCCTCCTCGTGGCTCCTGCTCGGTCCCTCCCTGGGACGCGAGTGCGTGGAGGAGGAGGAGGAGGACCAGGAGGAGATGGAGGAGGAGGAGTGGGAGGAGGAGGAGGAGGAGGAGGAGGAGGAGGATCAGGAGGAGATGGAGGAGGATCAGGTCGAGGAGGACGATCAGGTGGAGGAGGAGGAGGAGGAGGAGGAGGAGGAGGAGGTGGATCTTCCTCGTGGCTCCTGCTCGGCCCCACCTCGGGACGCGAATGCGCGGAGGTGGGCGGCCTGGGCTCCGGGAGGGCGGCCGCTCCTGCGGGCGCAGGCCTGCACACCCGAGCGAGCCGCGACCCCTCAGTGCCCTGGCACGGCCCAGACGTGTACTTTTTTTTGTCTCCGCCTCGGCGAGGACCATCGAGGAGCATCTGGGGTCACCTGGCGAGCAAACATGCACGCACGAAACCGACGGGCTCGGACGTGTGCATGGTTTCCCTCGGCGAGAATCATCGAGGAGCATCCTGGGTCTCACCTGGCGGACAAAAATATACGTACGAAGCCGACGGAGGCACGGGGGCTGATCGTCCGATGCGGTGGGAGATGCGCCCCGCGCTGCCCCGCGGCCGGCGGACCCGCCACGTGGTTTGGGCGGAGCCCCGCGGCCGCCGGGCGCGCCTCGGCCGCGCCACACCTCGCCGCACCCCTCACCTGGCGTCGGCTGGCGGGTCGGCGGGGCCACAGGCCAGGAGCGCTCGCGCCGCAGGAGATCGCGACGGGAGGTATTCGGCCGTGTTCGGCCTCGTTCTCCTCCCCTCTTCTGCTCTCCTCCTCATCCTCATCCTCATCCTCGTCCTTCTCCTCTCTCCTGCTCTCCTCCTCCTCCTCCTGCTCCTCCTCCTCTTCCAATCGAGGCGTAAGGGACGAGCCGACTGCGGCCCCAAATGGCTCCACCACCTCCTCCTCCTTCTCCTTCTCCTCCTGCTCTCCTCCTCGTCCTCCTTCTCATACCCCCTCCCAGCTGGCCCGGCGGGGCCGAGCTCACGCGGGCTTTGCTGTGTTGTACACAGCCAGCGCCGTGTAGGCGGATGAGGAGGATGAGGAGGACGAGGATAATGAGGGTGGTGATGATAATGTTGCTGATGATGCTGATGATGATGATGCTGATGATGTCGATGCTGATGATGATGATGCTGATGATGATGATGCTGGTGATGGTGATGATACTGATGCTGATGCTCCTGCTGCTGATGATGCTGATGATGCTGATGCTGATGATGACGATGCTGATAATGATGATGATGCCGACGATGCTGATGATTATGATGCTGATGCTGATGATGATGGTGGTGGTGGTGACGATATTGATGGTCGTCGTGATGAGCATGGTGGTGATGACGACGACGACGGCGAACGACGACGAGGACGAGGACGATGATGGTGTTTTGCTGATGCTGCTGCTGTTGATGATTATCATAATGAAACTGATAGTGTTGTTGATGATGATGCTGATGATGATGATGATGATAATAGTGGGGATGCTGATGTTCTTGATGCTGATGCTCATTATTACGATCCATACGACAATGCTGGAGGTGCGCATCATCGGTGTTGGTTGTCAAAGCTCGATGATGGTGATGCTTGGACGATGCTGATCATTTGTTTGGTAGTGATGCTGACGATGCTGTCGACGATGATTATGGTGGTGCTGGTGGATGATGGTGGTGATGATGGTCATGGCGGCTCTGCAGATAATGAGGTTAACAACACTGATGATGATGCGGATTAACAAGATCATGATGATGATGGCGATGCTGATGATGCTGATGATGCTGTTGATGGTGATGCTGCTGGTGAGTATGATGATGCTGATGATGCTGATGTTGCTGATTATGATGGTGGTGGTGGTGGTGACGATGGAGATGACGATGATAATGACGGTGATGAGTATGATGGAGATGTTGATGGTGATGATGCTGCTAATGATGATGTTAATGATGATGATGATGATGCTGATGATGATGATGCAACTGCTCTTGATGCTGATGCTGATGCTGCCACTGCTGCTGATGTTGCTGATGCTGATGATGATGCTGATGCTGCTGCTGCTGATGATGCTGCTGCTGATGATACTGCTGCTGCTGATGATGATGATGATGCTGCTAATGATGATATTAATGATGATGATGCTGATGATGATGATGCTGATGATGATGCTGATGATGCTGATGATGCTGATGCTGATGATGATGCAACTGCTGTTGATGCTGATGCTGATGCTGCCACTGCTGCTGATGTTGCTGATGCTGATGCTGAGCATGATGATGATGCTGCTGATGCTGATGATGATGCTGATGCTGCTGCTGATGATGCTGCTGCTGATGATGATGATGGTGATGATGATGATGATGCTGCTGCTGCTGCTGCTGATGATGATGATGATGATGATGATGATGATGATGATGATGATGATGATGATGTTCGGTCTCCTTCTGGAGGGACACATCGAGTCCTCGACGCCCGCCAGGGGTTCTTGGAGTCGCCGCAGGACACGACGAGGCTTTCCAGCGCACAATACGTACACTACTGCGGCAACAGCTGCCTCCAGTGCAGTAGGCGCGGGACGAACCCTGACCTTGCTGCCACGCTGGCCGCCGAGTGCACACCCTCGAAACAGGCCGCCCGACGGCGCAGAGAACGAGAAGATGATGACGCCATCGGACACTACCACCCCGCATGTTAGCCCCCCCCCAGCTCGTCCGCCACGAGCTCAGTGAAGTCGTTAAAGAGAGCAGCGCCCTCCATTCCCGCCTCGACGCAGCGGACGTTTACCCTGAACCTGTCGACCGAGACTAGCCGCGCCGCCGTGCCAAGGAAAACACAGCGCCGCAGGACGACCAGGTCGCCGGCATACTGATGATGTCGATGCTGATGCTGATGCTGATGATGATGATGATGATGATGATGATGATGATGATGATGGTATGATGGTGGTGATATTGATGTTTGGTGACGATGGCGACGACGCCGACGACGATGACGATGCTGACGATGGTGATGATGATGATGATGCTGATGATGATGATGATGATGATGATGATGATGATGCTGAGGATGATCGGGAACATGGCTGTGATCATGATGATAAGGAGGAGTACCACTACATGAGGGTGATGATGAGGAGATGAGGATGATGATGACGATGATGCTAATGATAATGCTGATGCTCATGATGACGGTGCTTATGCTGATTCGTATGCTCATGTTGTTGCTGAGGATGATGTTTATGATGCTGCTGATGAAGATAATGATGCTGATGATGATGCTGACGAGCATGACCATGATCATTCAGGCTTGGCTGTGATGGATGGTTGTTGATTGTGGTAAATTTGTTTACGATACTACTGCTGATGCTGATGATGATGACAGTGTTATACTGATGACAATCATACTGATGATGATGATGATGATGATGATGATGATGCTGCTGATGCTGATGATGATGATGATGATGATGATGATGATGATGCTGATGATGATGATGATGATGATGATGATGATGATGATGCTGGTGATGGTGATGGTGATGCTGATGATGAGGATGCTGATGATGATGATGATGATGATGATGATGATGATGATGATGGTGGTGGTGGTGGTGGTGGTGGTGGTGGTGGTGAGGTTGACGCTGAAGATGATGGCTATGCCAGTTGGAATTATGATGACGATGACACTGAGGATGACGATGATGATTATTCTGATGATGCTGATGATGATTCTGATGACGATGATGATGCTGATGATGATGCTGATGATGACGATGATGATGCTGATGCTGGTGCTGATGCTGATGCTGCTTTTGCTGATGCTGATGATGATGAGTAGAAGGAGGATGAGGAGGAGGAGGAGTAGGAGGAGAGGAGGAGGAGGAGGAGGAGGAGGAGGCGGAGCGCCTCAGTCGGAGGCTCGAAGGAGCGCAGATTATCAGAGGAGGAGGAGGAGGAGGATTTTTTGTGTTAACGCTCGACCTCTGCCTGACCCCCAAGAGGGGGGACCACCTCTCCTCTCAGCACAGTCCAGGGAGGGGGGAGGAACTGTCTATACTTCTCCCTCTTGATCTGCTGTGGGTGCCGGCTCTGTATAACATAGTTCCAGGCCGTAAGACCTGCACCAGCTTTCTTGCGGGTGCATTGTTCACCCAGCTTCTTGACTCGGCCTCCAGTACTGTAGTAGAAACCACAACGTCGGCAGATACAGAGGCAGGAGTTATCTGAGCAGTCGACCACCGCACACTGGTGGCCATGCTGCTCCAAGAGGCTCGGGCAGAGTCTGGGCGGCACAGGGCAACGGCCAGGAGCTGGGCGCGTATGACCTCTTCTCCCCCGTAGGCAGGATCCGCACTGCCAATATTCACCTGTCCAGGCCCACTCGTGTGGCGACTGTGACGCCTGAGGGGCCTTGGCAGGTTTGTTGAATTGGACGCTGGAAAGATCAAGCCTCGGCCATCGAGGCAAAAGTCTGGCCGCCAACAAGATGACAGCCTTCGAGACACGTATCTCGCGCTCAACGCGAGACAGCCCATCGGGGGAGGCCTGAGGGTGGACTCCCAGCACGGTCGGCGTGGGAGTTGCCAGCTCTCCTCTAGGCCTCCTGAACAGAAATTCCATATTCGTCTAAAGCCTTGTGCGCGGCAACTTTGACCAGGCCCTGCAGGAACGGGCCCGCCCCAGAGAACGCTTCCAGCACCGAGCCAGCATAGGCCCGATGCCCCCCCGAGGCGGTTCCGAGGGTCCCTGCCGTAAACCGAAACAACCGAGGCACAATCTGAGAAGAGAAAGGCGGGCCCGTCCAGGTTGACCCCAGCAGCGGCCAACGAGGAATACTCACCCGCCTGGGAAGACTGCGGCAAGTGAGCCCACACGGGCCCAAAGACTCTTCTAGCCAGCATGTGGCCTTGATCCGACATCAAAACAAAAGCCCAGCCCACTCTGGACAGCTCACGAATTTTGGACTGGAAGCAACTACCATCCAGGAACATATTGCCTTCAAAGCGAACCTGCCCGGGCCCAGGAAACTCCAACCCCGAGTCAAGGTAACCCTGCTCGAAGCATTCAACCGAAACACCCTCCATGCCTTGCTGACTGACAGGCGGCGGCACGTAGTCTCCTGGATGCGCAGAGGCCCCAGTCAGAAAGTTGACCAGATCAGGAGAATTACTGTCGCACGCTTCTCGAGCCCAGGTAATCAACTCCATCCCAACCAAATCAACCTTTTCATCCTGACGTACCACACATTCCCATAGTCAATGAAACAGATAATCCACCTTAGCATGGCAGAGAGGGCACAGCGGGCTGACTTGGTAGCCATACCTTAGCGCACGGGAGTTGGTCCACAAGGCATTACACGAGAGAGCTCGGAGAGAGCCCTTCTCCCAGGCCGAGAGTTTTTTCGAGCGGAGCCCAGCCATGACGACGTCGAAGCAGAGACGATTCGATCCATCAAGGTCGGGGGGGATCCGATCGGGGGCCAACTCCACGGCAGGCTCGTCTAAGCCTCGCGCAGGCACAGGTGGAGGCACACCTACGCCACAGAAAAGATCGCCATCCACCAGCTTGCCGTAAGCCGCTCTCCCAAGCTGGCGAAGAACAGCTAGGTGGAGCAGCACTTTGAATAGGGCAGACGAAAGCAACGTACACGAGAGCTCGCGACCCATGTCATCAACGAGAACCACCATGTTCTTCATATCCCAGCCGATCCGTCTGAGACTCATAAACACGGCACTCATGGGTCCTGAAACTCTCCTCCAGGTGAAAGCTTTCTGTCGACTGGAAACACGCGCCTTCCCAGGAAGCACGAATAGATGCGCAGTCCAGTGTCCCAGGAAAAGCGTTGGTCCTGAGAAGCCACAGCTCTTTCACAAACCGAATAATCGGGGCCGCTGAGCCGTGCCAGACAGGATCGCCCTCAAGCAAAGACAGCACAGTTAGGGGGCGACGGGCAGCATCAGGCTTAATAGAACTCGCAGCTTCACGCCTAAAACTGTGCACCTCCTCGTCCGTCAGGCCCTGGACTTAACATCCATAGATAAAACCAGGCATCGGACCCGAGGTAAACACCCGAATGGCTTTGCGCCCAAAATGGGACCTCAACCTCTTCAACCGTTTAACTTTGCGAATCAACCTGGCCTTTCTCTCCCGACGTTCCTTCATCCTGCCTTTGCCAGAACGAAAACTCAAACCCGCCGTGTCGTCGCAGCCGGGGTTGACTGCGGAAGCGTCCAACACTCCAAAAGGGCCGGGGTCGGCCTCCAGCTGCTGGCCCAGGGAAACACACGAGCAAACCAGCGCAACTTTGTCGAGATCAACAAGCCCTCCCAACATATGCCTGATACCAGCCAGGATCAGAGTTGCCATGTTCGCGATCGCCGGCCTAACACACGAGCGAGAGCCGATGGCAGAAATGCTGGCGTCGTCAATGCAGGCGTCGAAAGTCGAGAACTCCGACGACTCACGATCGATGCGATGATAGTTGACCGAGCGGGGGACCGTGTCAAAGGCATCTAAAACGTGGACCCTGATGAGCGTAGTAACCATGCTGCCCCCCGCGATGATGCCGTGCGTGGCCCACACAGGGTCTGCAATGACCCCAGAGAGACAAACGAATCTGGCCGACTTGTAGGCCGCCAAGTACAGGTGGAGGACCCCCATGGGGAACTGATGCCTGAGGCCACGGAGCTCCAATGCCTCCAAGCCAACCAACTCTTAGACCTACATATCACACAAACCAGTGACCGAGCAAGCGTCTCTCCTGACCCCAGCTTCCGACCTAAAAGCCTGGCGCCAAACGCAATCCATAGCCCCCCGATGCTTCCCCGCGGCCCAGTAGTCCGTGGAAAACAGAGCTCTCCAAGACTCAGCCAGAGGCCTACGGGCCCGCCCCCAGAGGCGGTACACCGAGGGCAAATTGCCGATGGGGCGGAAGCCTTCCTTTTCCATGGCCAAAAGAGCCACCGAGACCGCCGAAAGCTGGGGAGGCAAGGTGCCCGAGCGCTCAGCAAGAGACAGGAGAATACAGAGCACCCCCAAGCTGGCATCGCTGAGGTGCTGGAAGTGCCTCATGTGAAACCCATCATAAGAAACAGCGCTCCTTCCAGGGTACTTCCTGCTCAACTTTCGAAGATGCTCCACGTCCAGGGGAGGCAGAGCACAAGCGTTCTTGCACCTGATCCTGGGGGGGGTGGATCCTGACCTGCCAGAGGCCCGCAAACGCTTTGAGCTCAGCATCAATGAGATGCTGGGGGTCAGAAACCAGCTGCCCCTCGGAGGAAAGGGTGGTCGTGGGACGCCAACAAAGAGGGTCTTTGATGGCACAATGAGCATGGCGAGCACCCTGGCTAAGCTTCTCCGTTAACCACACGTGCCAGTCCTGACGCGCAATTCGTTGGTAGTGTTGGGTGCACGCAGCCAGCCTCTTGCTGGCGAGCAAGAAGGGCCTCCAGCCTATCAAGCTTGGCAGCTAACAGGACAGAATGGGCCATCCAAAGCCAAACGGAGTGGAGGCACCAGCAGCGTACGATGAATCGCCACCCTCCTCACAGGGGTAGGCGATACGCTCTGAGACCAGGGATTCCGATACAACATCCGACGCAAAGTGGGGATGAGGATTGAAACAAGCCCAGTCCTTGAGCGAGTCCCTGATCTCCTGAAGAAGACTGACATTATCAGGATGAACCAGCTGACGAGGGACCCACTCTGACTGGATCAAGCTGTCGACCAGCTCGCCAACCATGCACATAGTGGCACTGGAGGCATGTCCCGCCCAGACCGTCGGAACAAGCTGAGCAGCAGCACGAACACGGGCGCAGGTCCACCTCGTGGCTCGAAGTTCTGGGTACCTGCGCGATTTCTAGTCCTTCTGAAGAATGGGCCTCCAGACAACCTGAGGGTCCTTACCTCGAGCCCCCAGGCACGCACGTTCTTCCCCCAACCTAACAACCAGCTCCCGCTCGGAGCCATTGGCCCAACATTGATAGGCCCTGCGAATCAGCCTCTGGACCTCCCTCGCATCCTGGGGCCTCAGAGCTTTCTCACCCAACTCCAGGAACACGTGCGCCCTCCCGAAATCACCAGGGGGCGGGCCAGCTCCAGGAGGCGCCTCGACGGGGAGGGGAGGTGGCTTGCGGAATCCCAGGGCCTGAAGACGGCAAAGGGCATGATAAAGTGCCAACATCACCACGAAATTCGGTGAGAACTCATTGTCGTCGCTACGCTGAACTCGCTTGGCTCCACGTGCCAAGCCCCCCGAGACGAGGAAGTAATCGTATTCGGACTGCCGTGCACCAAGGCAAGTTTGCACACCAATAGAGACGGGCTCACCTCTAGCAAGCTCCAAGGAACCGCCGTCTTGGAGCACGTGAGGTTCAATGTTGAAATCGCCCCCCACCACATATGAGAGGCCCTCGAGCACTAAGTAGGAGCCCGCAGACTTATGGAGCTCCATCTGCCTTTCAGCAACGCCCTTAGAGACGAAACCATAGACCGAGGCCACACAAAACGGAACTCCCCCTGGCAGGCGAGCGACAGCACCCAGAGCACGGCCCTGGTAGATCTTATTTGGCTGATGAAGACCCCAGAAATCTCTAGCCAGTATGGCAACTCCCCCAGAAGTGCCCCCTACAGAAGTCCGAACCGCGGGCTCCCAGAGGCCCTTCCACCCATGATCAGAACAAACCATTGACGCGCGGCCAATGCTATCCAGGTCGGCTAAGTGGTGCTCCTGGACGAGAATGATGTGCTGGGTCACAGCCGACGGCAAACAGTCCCGAAGCGAACCCCAGCTATTGCAGTTGATCGCCAGTTCGAGGGAGCCGTCATCGGGCCTGGGACCTGGGCCTGGAACTCCTGGGCCCGAGGGGTATCTACAAAATATGTTACTAAAGTTCGTATTAAAGTTAGCTCCATCAAAACTTGGCTCCTTCCTACTCCCGGTCCTTCAGAAGCTACACTCCCTCGAGGTAGAGGACAGAGGAGTGGGGGAGGGGCCCGTGGGGGAGCTGGATGGGGGGCTGCCCCTCAGCGTGCGCAGAAGATGCCCCCGCCCCCTCGCGCGGAGACGGGGGCAGGAAAGGAGGCACCTGGCTTCTGGAGTGCCCTGGGCAGTCTGGCTCGCAGCACAGGATCTGCTCCAGAGGGCCCCGAAGCACAGGACGAGCCAGCGTCCGCCGACCTCGAAGACTTGGCCGAAGCGGCTGGGGCTCCACCGCCAGCCTCAGGAAACGTACCTCCAGCTCCTCCTCCTCCTCCTCCTCCTCCTCCTCCCCCTCCTCCTCCTCTCCCTCCTCCTCCTCCTCTTCCTCCTCCTCCTCCTCCTCCTCCTCCTCCTCCTCATCCTCATCATCCTTAAAGCCACTGGCGCGGCATCACCCCCTGGCTCATGATCAGCATCAGCAGGCCCTTCCCCAGCAGCCGCGGCGCCCTCCGACGAATTCTTGCTCCTCTTCTTGGCCATATGCTTGAGCTGCTCCTTGTGCTCCTTCCTCGCCGTCTCGAAGTGGGCCGACGCGTTGCCGAAGAGCTGCTTGGCCATCTCTTTGAGCCCCTCCCGCAACTGCGTCTTCCTGGCCTCCATCTGATCCTTGTCTTCGGTGGACATCTCGTACACCTCAGGACGGTCAGCGCAGAGGTCATCCTCCAGCTCGAAGTTGAGCTCCTTTCCCTCCACCAGGTCCCGCAGGCTGATGGTCGGGCCACGTCCACGCTTGGACTGAGGCTGAGGCGGAGCCACATCCAAACTGATCTGCTCCACCAACTCGGAGTACTGCTTCTCGTAGCCGTCCAGCTCGTCAGCCAACTCCTGGATGGCTGCCTCCAAAGACACCGTAGCCTCACGCCAGCGCTCCAACTTCGAGATTTCCTTGTCCAACTTCTTCTCAACCTGCCGTATTTTGCTCTGTGCCTGCGAGGCTCTAGTGTGGAGCGAGGCCTCGGGGTGCGCACGAGCAGACTGCAGCAGCTTGGCGCGGGCCGTCTCATACTGCTTTGCCAACTCGGGCTGCCCCTGCCGAGTGGCAATTGCTGCCAGCTGCTGCAGATCCTCTTCGCGGATGCCCTCTGTGTTGATGCCGCCAGCGCCACCCCGCTGTCCACCTCCAGCACCCACGGGACCTGGAGGTAGCGGACCACCAGGCTTAGCACCAGCAGCAGGAGGATGAGGTTCATCAGCACCACCACCACCTGAGACCGCAGAGCACGAGCCGCCGTCCCACTTCGACTTGCAGTGCTTGCAGAACCACATCCAACCCATGTTGCGCGCACAGCCACACGCCCCGCAGCGCCACTTTGCATGGCGGACAGGCGCCGCGCGAGCGTGCCAGGGCGCCGGGGCCATGCGCGCGCAGAGGACCGAGCCACTATGACTCGCGGCAGCAACGCCCTTCTGAAGATCGCTGCCGACAAGCTCCGCCAAAATGGCCAGAGCCAGAAGGGCTGGAGGAGGAGGAGGAGGAGGAGGAGGAGGAGGAGGAGGAGGAGGAGGAGGAGGAGGGGGAGGGGGAGGGGGAAGCGGAGGAGGAGGAGGCGGAAGAGGAGGAGGAGGAGGATGCGCGAGGCGGATGCGCGAGGATGGGCGAGGAATCCCCAGACGGAGCCCGGCAGCGGAGCGCGGCGCCGCCCCGAGTCGCCCCCCGGCCGAGATGTTCGTGCCCGTCGGGGCGCCGCCCCGGAGGCGCCCGCTGAGGCAGGGCCTCTGCAAGGCCCTGCGGGGGGGGGGGCGGGCGGGCACCTTTGGCGTGCAGAAGGTCACCACCCACCAAACCACCCCAACCCAACCCGAAGGCTCAGATTTGCCCTCGATTTCCAGTGGGGGGGGGTCGGGGAACGTTGAAAAAACACATATGGAACCCGTACCCCCCCCAACCCGAAATTGGGGTCTTCGGGTTGGGTTGGGGTGGTCTGGTAGTCAGTCAAAAGGGGCCAGAGCTTGCAGGCCGAGTGATGTCAGGCGATCGCAAACATGGAGCAAGCGGGGCGTGAATTAGCGACGGGTCCCGTTTCCATGGGGGATCGCGTATTCCCGCTGCCGAGCGAGGCGGCGCCGGCCGCATTCTGGGGAGGGCACCTCCCCGATCCATGGCTTTGGCGACCGCGCGCCAGATTCATGGATCGCTAATCCATGTTTGCGCGCCCCCGATTGGAGGCCGCGTAATTGGGGGGCGATGCATGGCTTGGCATCGCTCGGACGTGTGCATATTTTCTCGGCGGGGGTCATTGAAGAGCATCTTGGATCATCTTGCCAAGAGGAGAAAAAGAACGCGCCAAACTGAGACATCCACCCGGAATGGACGTCCGAGCGATGGCGAGATGGGGGGCAGCGAGGGCTGCAGAAAAAGGGCCCTTTAGAACTCCCAAAGGGGCCCCGGCCTGGAAGGGGGCATTTCGGGCCCGACAAGGGCACCCTCCTCCCCCATTTCTCGCCCCCCCGTTAATTCGCGCCCAAGGAGCAGACGCTGAGATCCTGGCGTCCCATTCCCAACCATCCTGTGGTGTTGGGTCCTCGTTCTGAAGGGACAGCGCCCCGCGTTCCTCTATCCTCACTCCTCCATCCTCCGCCTCCCTCCTCCCATCGCCGCCTCGGCCTCGGCCCTCCGCATGCCAATGCTTTCGGCACACGCCCCTCTCGATTCGTGGCCCCATAGGGAGCTCCACCGATTGCCCCAGTGGCTGCGCTCGGAAGACACCACCGCACCCAATTCGACGCACCCATTGCACGCTTTCTCGAGTCGGGCGTTTTCGATCGGTTTCGAGCGCCGGGACCCTCACAGATCGATCGGGTTCGAAAAGTGGCGCAGCAAGATGGGGTCGGGGACTCTGGCCGTGATATTTCACGATGCTGCGATTGTTTCACTATCTCAGGGGATTGGCCAGAGTCCATTTCGATCCGATCGGTCCTATTCGATGTCGATGCCAGCCGGCCCTATCCAATTCGATTCCGATATTCCGACGATCCGACGCGGCATGTCGCTGTTGGGGGCCGCTCAAGTGGGGCCCGAGAAGATGTATCAAGGACAACTGTAGTAGGGATTCAGGGGGGACGTTTCGGGTGCGGGGTTTGAGTTTTTCAAAGTTTTCGTCCAGTCTCAGAGGTTTTCCAGCCTCCAGGTGCCTTCCAGCAGCTGCGCCTCGCCGACAGGCGTCCGGGGGGGCCCGGATCGTTCCGAACGGCTGCCGGAGACCCGAGCTATGACCTAAGAACTGGACGACGAGGATCATTGGGCCGGGAAGTCGAAGCACATGTTGTGCGTGTACGTGCTGGTGTGTGTGTGTGTGTGTGTGTGTGTGTGCGTGCCTGCTGCCGTCTTGGCTCGCAGGCGGCCAGCCATGCGTCAGTCCACCGAGTTTAATATTGGGCGGTCTGTGCCCTGCGGGGAGAAGTTCTGACTGCATGGGCTGCCGCCTAACGGTCAGCTCAACCTGGATAGCGGAGCATCGGTCCGTTGACCAGTGTTCCCACTGCGCATTCTGCGATTGATTGATTGTTCTCTCTCGCAGTCGCCCCTGCTGTCAAGAAGTGGTGCCGAGCTCATCGTCAGCGCGGAGTCTTGCAGGGTATCGATTATATTTTCTGCGATTTCAGACAAATTGGTGACATCTCTTGCTAATCGACTGCGGCGATGGTGGCGTCTGAAAATTTCTGTCAATATTGGGAATTGCTTCTAACAATCGTTCCGGACTTTGCCGAACGCATCGGGAACGGAATGTTTGCCCCAGCTTGTGTGAATACGGCCGTGGGGTGGAAGTTGTCTAAGCAGTTCGCCAAACATCCTATCGTGTTTAATGCGCTTCTCCACGTGGCGGCTTGTGATCTCAGGCGGCATGGATGCAAGGGAGGTGGGTTTGGACATGCTGCCAGGGCTTTGGGTGGGAGCTGTGTCTGGCGTTGACGCAACGTTGCTGATCTTCTTGAAGAGAGGACATCCGGCGGATTGGTATTGGCAACAAGCCCTCGGCGCAGTTCGTCTCTCATTTCCAGAGCTGTTTGACTGATGCCGGGACGACATGGTTATCCTGCAACTGTTCATTGTGGCCAGGGAAGCTGTTGAGTTTGCCAAAGTAGACAGGCGTCCACGTCTTTTTTTCACATCTACGAGCACTGCGACGCCGACGAGGGTACCTCTGTTCCTGGCGCTCGACTGCCAGGAACTGTCCGGCCGCAAGGTAGCGACGACGAAGATCCATTCACAAATGCTTCACATACTGGCGCTCGACCAATCTTTCCCCTGCTAGGCGAAGTCAAGCGTCAGCGCTCAGTTGGATCCAATACCAGGGCAACCTCATATCGCACGTCGTGTGCTTGCTGAACTTCACCCCCACGATGATGCTGGGGAGCCAGATGCTGCGCATGATGATGTCCAGCTCGATGAGGATATCGAGCATGAAGATTTGTTTTGGCAGTGCGGGTGCATGGGGCGATCTGTGACTTCGTTGGCGCATGTGTATTTTGGCGGACAGATAACAGCGGGCGAACTCGCGTTTGCTGACGTGGAGGTGCCGATGTGTGCTTGATGCTTTCGACGACACGCTTGGCGTTTCGATACTACCGCAGGAAAGCTTGCCAGAGACGAGGTGATGGTGATGAGTCTACATCCAATTGGCGCTCCGCCCTTGACCGAATGCGATTTGCACATCGCAGCTAATCGCGCGCTCGTGTCGGCCGTTAAGCTGAAGGCGCTCGAGCGTTGGGTAGTTCCAGATGTTTTCGAATTTTCGGCTTGCCTAAGGGATTCTTACTTGGTTAAAGGTTGGTGCTTCGGGGGGCCGTGCTCGGAGGTTCCCCGGGTTCCTCGGATTCTTCTGGTTTGTTGGTTCCTCGGATTTCTCGGGTTCGTCGGGTTCCTCGGGCTCCTCGGATTCCCCGGGCTCCTCGGGTTCATCGGCTTCCCACGCAGACCAGTGCCGAGCAATGCCGCGCACTTGCAACCCACGCAAAAGAATGCCAAGCAACGCCGAGCGATGTGCCCAGCGATGCGCCCATGCAGTAGGCTTTCCCTTAATTTGGACAACGTGTCGGTTCCAAGTGGGTCGCCGAGAGAAAGATCATCCAGGGTCAGCGCGACGCAGAAATCGATGGACCGTCGGGTGCTTCAAGGGTCGCCCGAATCATTAGAAAGATCGCATGGAAAATGCCGCATATACGGCTTCTCGCTGGGGTAAACCAGGGATATGTTTCATCGGTGCGCGACATCATTGGACGCGATCTGGATTCGCTGGATGCGCCTGGCTCTTTTGCGCGGTTGGCCTTCGACGAGCCGTCGGAAGGATTGCGTTCAAAATGCGAAGCTGGCAATTCGATCTTCTGCGTGGCCGAGCCGCGCTGCTCGAGCGGACGTCAGGTTTTGAAGACCCCAACCAGACCATGGCCACCTCAAACACGAAAAGGTCCAGCTGTGGGGCCCCACGGGGGGCGAGGCGCATAGAGGCCTGGGCGCGTTGTCTGGGCGGTCGGGCGGGCCCGCCCGCGGGCGGCGCGTCTCAGGTCCCGGGGAAGAAAGGCTTCCCGGAACATGTTCCCCGAGAGGCCGCTGGCGACGCGATTGCGTTGCATTGGCATCCAGGAACATGGTTGCAGTGCGTGCCGCAGCGCCGCTCTCTGCGTGCAGGGGGCGCCGGCGCCTCGCCGCGCGGGCCCCTGCTCTTCGCGGCGCGAGCGCGACGATCATTGCGCATCTTCCCATTGGTTCGGCCGACCGCGCGCGAGGTGCCGCCTAGCTTCCGCGGAGTCTTCGCGCCGCTTCCGCGGCGCATCCGCGGCGCCTGCGACTGCGATTGTTTTGCCTGTGCCCCTTTGGCGGAAGCGCCTGGCGCGCTTCCCGCCCGCTCCTGGGGGTTGTCCGCGCCTCCGTGGGCGGGCCCCTCAGGGCGCGCCGCCGACGGTGAATGGTCAGACATCGCTGCGTCTACCATCGCGCATCGCGCCCCCGCGGGGCTCGGAGAGGCCTTCCTCGTTCGGTCAAGACTGCGTCTCGATTGGCTGTGGGCGGAGGGCGGTTCGCAGCGCGCCATTGCCGCGCGCGTCGGCGCGAATGACGCGCCGTGGGCGCGGCGAGTGGATTTTTCCGATGCCTTTCGCGGGCTTCGTGTCTTCCCGGCTGTGGCGGACAGGCAGTTGCGGTTATTGTTCGAGTCTAATGCGTCGGCGGCGGCACGGGGTATTCATGTTGCCGACCTCGAGGGAGCTTGCAGCGACTCGACTCGCGAGTGGATCTTCGAACATGTTCAATGGATCTGTGAAGATGTCACCGTCTTTTCGCTGCCGTTCGAGTGCGCGCGTGTGCAGCGCGCGCGGGGCAGATGAGGTGCAATCGCAGGAAAGTTCTGCGTCGGTTCGGTTCGGCGAGGTCCCGTCCGAAGTCCCTCTGGTTCGGTCCGGTTCGGCGCGGTGTCGGAACCCCTCAAGTTCGGTTCGGTTGGCTTCGGCCTCGACGCCCCTCCAGTTCGATTCGGCCCGGTTCGCAATGCGTTTGTTTCTGGTTCGGTTTGATTCGGGCAACCTCGTCTACTTTGTCCTCCTCCTCGTCCTCCCCCCAGGGTGGTTGAAGTCCGCTGGGGTCTGCTGGGGTCATGGGGTTCTGGAGCCCACTGGCGCCCGCTAGGGTCCGCCGGGGTCGGCTTGGGTCTGCTAGGGTCCGCTGGGATCCGCGAGGGCCCGCCAAGGTCTGCTGAGGTCGGCGCGGTAGGGTCCGCTAGGGTCTGCGAG